ACACACGCACACGCACACTACACACATAGGAAATGTTAAGGCTTCGCCATGTTGGCTCCCATTCCAGCCGTTTTCTCAGACCCACTTTCGGTTTCAGTTGATTTATTTGGTGTTTCGACTACGCACAGGACATTGGGGACTCCTTTCTTCGTCGTCGTCGCCGTCGCAGTCGGATAGCTTTGAAAAATATGCTCGGGTTATAAATTGAAGTTGAGCCATTTATATGATCTTGCGATTATGCAGCAAATTGCGACAGGGAGAGGCAGATTGGGAGAGAGATAGAGAGGGAGAGGGCGAAGGAATTTGAACCTGAGGCAGTAAAATAATAAGTCTTTTGAATTTGAACCATGAATCATTAATTATAAATATAGAAACTATTATATAAAAAAGTCTATCAGAAACACAACTACTCTGCAATTTTATTCTGTTCTTATAAAGGAGTATGGAAAAATAGTCCCGAAACAAAGTTGATTCATAAGACTTATCATTAGGGATTACCATAATAGGGCCCAGACAAATCTTTCAGAGTACACAATTACAAGAATAAACAAAAGCATTTAAAGATTTGATCAAAAAGTCAAGTAACCCAATATTATATGCAATATTATCGTAATAATGTTATAAAGCATATATATAATATTATATCATACCATGCTATTCCATACCAAAGATATTATAATACAAAACTCATCTCGCGTTTATATTGTCATTTACTATACTATATTATACTTTTATATACTCAGCTATATTACACTGTACTACACTACATTAGACTACACTATACGATATTTTACTATGTATCTAAGTATGGAATTTAGAGCTCGTTTCTTGGGAAACGCCGGCTACCCAAAATACCGGAAACATTCGGAATATGAGTATTTTACATTGAGGAGGGGAAGACACATTTTATTATCATAGCGCATTTTGAAGGAAAGGCCCATTAACTATATTCATTTTTTGTGTATTCAAATTTTGTTTTTTTTATTATTTTTGCCTGTTTCCTTCTTCCTCTTTTTTTTTTTGTTGGAAATTCTTTGAGTAATACTTTTTGTCATTTAACAAGTTACCATTAAATTTGGTCCTGTCTGTCTCTCTCTCTCCATAGTTTCTGCTGCTTCTTTTTCATTTTAGAGTGTGTGTGTGTGTGCATTTCCCCATAGAAACAATGACAGGGTATTCAGGTCAATAGTAAAAGACAACAAGAAAAAAACATATGGCAAGGTTGCTTTGAAATAATTTTTTGAAATTAACTTTTTTTTGTGTGCCGTTTTGTGCAGGGCTGCAGGTGCTGGGCGGGGCAGGAGAGTGGATAAAGGAGAGGGGCGGGGGGGGGGGGGGGGGGGGGTGCTAGTAAAGGGGATTTGACTGGCATTTGATTTGTGATGGCGCTGCACATTTTACCTGGCTGGTGACAAAGGAAAGAGAAGCAGTTGCAGGCACGAACCTGCTTCCGTTCAAGAGGGGACACACACACACACACACACACAGAGACACAAAGACACAGGCACACACACAGACCCACACATGCACATATTTGAGTAAAGTGAGTCTAATTAGGAAGTCCTTTTAAGAAAATCAATAAACATGTCTTGACCTCAATTAGATTCCGCTTACTACAGTTCACAATACACACGTACCCAAAACGGATCCCCAGACAACAAGAAACACACTCACACACACACACACACACATGCACATACGTAACAGAGAGATTCATTTTGGCGTGCAAGAGGTGGGTCGCGAGGCGGGCTGCAGCACAATAAACACACGTGCTTTTATAGTAAAAGAATAACAGGAAATTCTGCGTCGGGCAGCCGACGATTAAATACCCTTGCCGACATAAATGTGCGATATATTTCATGTGATAAATTCCTTCTAAAAGGGCAATTCTACTTAAACACAATCAACTTGCAAGGTGCTAAAAAACACCTTGTTGAAGATATTTGGGCAAACAATTTAAATATATCTACTTTTTATGGAGTCGGATGTGCTGCCTTCTGTCTTACACAAAATTAATATATCCCTTTTTTTTTTATCTATTTTCATGGGTTCAAATATTCTATTTATCGTCTTCACTGAGTTCGAACTTTCAGCTTCATGCTACTTCAATCAAAAACATTATTTTATACAGCAAGTTTTCGATCGTTTGCAGCTATATAATATAGTTAACTGATGCTTAACTTAATTCATTACCATTTTTTAACCCTTTATAATATAATTCTGCGATGAGCCAAGAAGAGACTAAGAGCAAGAGAGACACATCATATCAATACCAAGATCAAGAATATATATATTTCAAATATATTTCAGATGTCCGTTGCACATTTAGTGTGCAAAAGTGTAATAGCCGTTGTAAGAGTATTAAAAGAAAGAGATAGCCATAATAAAGACTCGACTGGGCTAAGACGATTTGTGTGCACTGCATGCAGGGGGATTAGGGACAGCTGCTGATGGGGGATTGGGGGGGCTGGCAGGAAGAAGTTTGCCTCGAGCATTCACACGCCATAGCCACAGAGCCATGACATGAAGACATGAGAAATGACGACGACGACGATTGCTTTTCACTTTGCGGCTCCTTCTAAGCGGGCCCTGGCCAACAAAAAAAAAAAAAACGAGCCCCACTCTGTGCCCGCCATCTCCTGCCTCCGGACTGCTGCGACTGGCGTTTTATGATACGATTTTATTTATTTGCCCATGTCTGAAACGATACTGAGCCCCGGCACTGGGAACGCGTCCTGCCATTGTAATGCAAACTGTCAACAAGACCGCAAATGCTCGAGGCTCACATTGTTGTTTTTGTTTTTTTTTTCTTTGTTTTTTTCCGTGCCGCATTGGAAGCTGTCAGAAGTCGTCGAGCCACAAGAATTTGAACGGGAATTAGTGCAACGTGCATTAAGCTAAGCCGCAATTGCAATTCCCCAATTCATATTTTTCTTATAAACTGAAGCGTTAGCTCAAACAATTGTTTAAGGAACACAATAAAACCTGGTTCGAGCTCCTGCTTTAGGAACCGATCCTTAAGGCCGGGAGCTAGTTCGCATCGTGAACGGAACCAATGAAAATGTTTTTGTCCGTTTTGCAACCCTGGTAAATAGTAAGTGCTAGTCTAGACGCTTTACAGAGGTTAAAGTATACGCAGTCCATAAACTTTCTAGACTTCCACCTGCCAAAAACTCTTTATCTTGCAATCCTGGCAAACAGGGTATATCAAGATCCTGTCTAACCTTTTTATAGAGTAGAGCCTAAAAAATATCTTGTTTTGCAGCCCTGGTAAGCACGGCACATCAAGATCCTGTCCTACTTTATAGATGACAAGGAATTTAAAGTAAATTAAATCCATAAAATTTAAATCTTAAATATGTAAACTTAAAAAAAATGTATCCCAGTACCTTTTATGGATTCAAACAATTTTTTTTTAATTTTTCCAAATGGTTTCTCAGTTAATAAAACTGCCAAAAAACCAAATTGATTATAAGTTGATATATTGAAATCAGAAATGACAAAAATGTTAACTTGTAAAGTTACCAAGCTGCTGTTAAATTAACATCATGATTTGCAAGCCGGTTTAATCAAGCTTTTAGTTGTATGCATTTGAAATGATTTTCTAAATTTATCGAAATATTTGCCTGACTTTCTGTCCAAACTAAAATTGTCATTGGTCTTGAATTTAAGGCACTCAATGAAAACGTAGACAATTTATTTTGTTTGCGTTCGATTGAATTGCAGCAATAGACAGGACAATTTGTGCCAAATGAAATCGATGTCAACGTAGTTTTCGGCGCTCAACAAAGCCGATGACCAAAGGCAGGACAAAGAGGAAGCAGAACCTTTATATATATATATGTATATGTGTATGGATGTGTATGTCACTTAACCCAGTTACTGCCACTAAACCTAAATGAACTGCTTTTGCTGGCAAAATATCTAAAAGTGTCCCTCCGAATGCAACTTTTAACTTTTAGCTCAATTTATATATACATATATATATTTTTTTGTGCTTTGTGCTATTCAAGTTTTGCATTTTGTTGTTTGTTCAGCTGAACTTTTGGGCTAAAAGCCGCTTTGCTTGGAAACCTATTTCAAATCTCGGATGCCAAAAGAATTTGTGTCATGGTGAAAGAAATTAGATAGTTTCGGCAAAAAGCAAACTCGTGGAAACTTGATTCACGCTTTGTATAGCTCTTGTTCTACCTAATGTGTAATATTTACCATCGAACATTTAAAATGTAAGAATATGTTTATCGGGAACTGAATATATCGCAGTGGAAAGTTGTGGAAATTTAGAAGGCGCATTTACCAGAGACTGAGCACTCTACAAGTTAAAGACGTTTGAAGCGAGGAGCATTTACCAGGAACTAGGAACCAGGAACCTTTAAGGCATGGCTCAACACGAATACAATACTAGCTTTTCAAAATACGCACAAACACGCATTAAGAATTTGACATGCACTATGTACCACCTGGTAACTGGCAGTACAAGACTGTTATACTATTTGTCATGTACTATTTACCATGTACCATGCATTCATACTGTCCGAATGTGCATTTCTATCTATATGTATATATCATCTACTAATAGCAGTACGTGCGTGTATCGTGTACTATTTACCATGTACCTGTTAGTTTTTCATTTGTTATGTACGCATGTATATGTCTACTTAAATACATAAGCCATATTCTAATGACAGTACGTGTCTTTTTCAATCTACATATAACATAATTTGTATCATAAACTATTTACCATGTACCTGGTAATAGCTGTTTATGTACATATGTCAATTAAGTCTATTTCTACCTATATGCGTATATCATCTTCTAATGGAAAATTCATATTGTTTCTGGGGTATATTCTAGTTAATTGTTTCCGAAAATACGCCCATTTGCTTCTCCCATAACTATTTAGAATGTACTATTTACCATGTACCTGGTAAGCACTTTATACGGATACCGTTATTAGTACCTATTGTTTTCAAATGCTATTAAGGAAGTTCTCTACTTACTTTGCATATGACATAATCCCACAGAGAATTGCGTCAGTTCCGGCATTTGTCTAAGTATCTCCTCGGTGACCAAATGGACGCCACGATGCTGCGGCCTTAGATTGATTTTGCGCTGAAACCAGGCGGAACCGAATTGTAAACCGGCCGGATTACCATCGGCAGCGCCAGCGCCGGCGATGCCGCGATGCCCGCCCCGATGATTCGCCGATGCCATGGTGCTATTGGAGGAGCTGCTGCGTATATTGCTATTCCGACTGACGCTCTGCTTAATGTTGGCCGTAGCGCCAGCTCCGCCCCCGCCACCACCACCGCCACCAGCGACGCCGGCGCAGCCAGCTCCACCGCTGCCGCTGGTCGCTTTCGTGTTGCCGGCGTTTGGATTACTGCTGCTACTGCGACGCCGGTGGCCGCTGCGTACGCCGCTGCGTGTTGCTGTTGCTGCAGTTGCTCCCGCTGCTGCTGCTCCCGCTCCCGCTGCTGCTGCTGGCGGCGGTGGCGAACCTTGCGTGGATGTCTGGCGTTGAGTTTTTACCTTGGAGGCGGCGGCGGCGGCAGCAGCAGCGGCTGATGTCGTAGGTTTTGCGGACGACGTTGTGACGACTCTTTGGCTCTAGTCCCAGTCACACACGCACACACACGCAGACGCACACGCACACACACACACACACACACAGAAGCACTTACACACACTGGCACATAGGCGCTGCACACACACACACCTCACTCGCTTGCGGGAGGCTTTTGATTAATATAATTATTTATTTTCTTGATTTTGAGCACTTTTTGTTGCACTTGTTTTAGCTTTTTGGTTGCAAAAATTCTTTTGCTTGAACTTAATTTTTATTATTTCTTAGCCACGGGATTTCCTTAGCAGAAACTGCAAAAGACAAAGAGAAACATAAAAGAAAATTAGTTTTTATAGAATAAAAATCAATTTTATATTTAATATTAATCGAAATACAGTGAAAGCTCTGCTGATAAACAGCTTATTTTAAGCCCAAGTTTTTATACCCTGAACCCATTAAAAATGGGTATAAGAATATATTGTATTTGTGCAAAATCCAAATGTATGTAACAGGCAGAAGGAAGAATCTCCCACCCCATAAAGTATATATATTCTTGATCAGCATAAATAGCCGAGTCGATCTAGCCATGTCCGCCCGTCCGTCCGCATGTATGAACGCAAGGATCTCAGAACCTATAAGAGCTAGAGACTTGAATTTTAGATGTAGATGCTCCTAGTTCCCGCGCAGATCGAGCTTGTTTCCGATAATCGATAACTTACTCCGAGCAATCGATAAAAATCGATATCGATATCCTGTTTTTTTGGGAAATTTTGGTAAATAATAAGAACTAGAGTTACCAAACTTGACATATAGATTCTAAAATAGAATATATATATGCATTTGATGCTGGAAGAAGAGGGTTCAGGGTATCCCCTAGTCGGGAGCTCCCGACTAGAACCTCTTACTTGTTTATGTTATTTTCAACATTTCTTGTCAAAGGACATTCCTCTCAGCAGGATAAAAGTATGGAGCCGCGGATGGCTTTCACTGATTTTCTTCTTATTTATAATTGTTTTATATAATCTTTAATATTTCTAATGCTTTTTTTAGATATTAAAAAAATACAGCTCACTTGATGTTTGCCTAGCTGCTCGAACCTCAGAATAAGTAGAACTAAAATATGTATTTTATTTAATTTTTACTTCAAATCAGATTCTCGTCCAACTAAACCATAAAAGGGCCTTTCGTTCTTGTTTTTATTTCACTTGTAAGTCTGTCAAATAAATCAAATTGATTCTCTCTGTCTGGGCGTTTGTTTGTCTCTTCCAACCTGAGCGTCGCCCACAATCAACAAGTTTTAATTGCGCCCAGTAAATAATAACAACAACAACAACAACAACAAAAAGAACAATAACAAGAACAACCTCAACCACATTGACTGTTTATGGTTATGGTTATCAGCAGCTGGCGTTGACCTTGCCAATCGATTGGATGAAGTGGCAAACAGTTCTGGCTATAAAAAAAAAAATGGGACTCAACGGCGCATTACTCAAATCCATAAAGGTGGATAATAACACTAATTTGAGAGGTGAAAACAAAAATGCCAATCAATTATTCTTGTGGAATACATAAAGATCGAAAACTTTGAATTTTGTTCTCCATAATTTGATTCTTAGATAGTTATTGAGAAGCCCCATTTTAGTTAGACTAACTAACAAGCAAACAAGTAAGAGGTTCTAGTCGGGAGCTCCAGGGAATACTCTGAACCGTCTTCTTCCAACATCAAATGAATATATGTATATATTCTATTTTAGAAGCTATATGCCAAGTTTGGTAAATCTAGCTCTTATTATTTTCTAAAATTGCCCAAAAAACAGGATATCGATATCGATTTTTATCGATTGCTCGGAGTAAGTTATCGATTATCGGAAACAAACTCGATCTGCGCGGGAGCTAGGAGCATCTACATCTAAAATTTCAGACTCTAGCTCTTATAGGTTCTGAGATCCTTGCGTTCATACATACGGACGGACGGACGGACGGACGGACGGACAGACAGACGGACATGGCTAGATCGACTCGGTTATTAATGCTGATCAAGAATATATATACTTTATGGGGTCGGAGATGCTTCCTTCTGCCTGTTACAAACATTTCGATTTTGCACAAATACAATATACCCTTATACCCATTTTTAATGGGTTCAGGGTATAAAAAGGTTGAGAAAAGTTTATCTGCAAATCGCTTTCATTTCTGTATGTTAATTATTTTTAATATATATATTGTATAATAATAAAAACATGTATTTTTTTTTTACTAAACTAGCTTTTAAAAGGGCAATGAGATCTGTTTAGGTGATAATCTAGATTTCAGTATAGATTTTTTTAAGATTTTCCTGGCATTACCATATGCCTGATTGGGTCACAGATACCTCTGTCTGCCTATTACATTCATCTCTACACACTATTTTTATAACTCTTCAATAGACGTGGGATATATGTAAATGATTGTTAATACAAGCGCTCTATGTTTGATCGTGACTATATCTGCGTTGTTACATATAGGAAATTGTTTTGACTGCCTTAAAAAAAATATTCCAGCTTAAAACGTAATGCATTTTTTGGTACAGCATCAAGTACGAAAAGTCTTGTCATTAGTCCGCCGTTTTTCTCTCTGTGTAATATGTACCCAAAATTTAACATGTGGAAAATCATGGTTTGTCCTCCGGATTGATCTAGCCTTTAAATACTATATACTGCCGAAATACTATATGCTGCCATATGTACCAAGACAGACTTGATTATATCCCCACTGCGCACAATGCTGATCATGAATATATGTACATATATATCCTTTATTTAAAGGCGTCTCGTTCGATCTGTCAGTCGTTTTGACAAAAATATATAAAACTCTTTGTAAGAATATTTCTACACGCCATAGAAGCCAAAATGAGTTTCAGTATATTTGAAGTCTGGTCACCCTAAGCCAAAAGGAGTTCAAAGCAACACGCATATACACACATACTCACACACACATATACATATAGCATGCAGGTCACAAAGCTTTTATAGACAATTGTACACGAAAAACGGAGCAAAAGCCAAAAAGTAGAGTAAATTTGTTGCGGCACAATTGGGCACGTGTCGCAGCAAGTGGAGCTCTAGGGAGGCGACAGGTTAAAGGGGCGCGTTCGCGCTCGTGCACAAAAGGAAGTAGCGTTCACAGCTTAAGGTGGCAAACACACACACACAAATACACCAGCAAACACATACACGCACACGCACACACACACACATACACAAACGCAAATAGAAGTATGTAGGCACAAGGAATCAACGAAAAATGGCGTTTAAGAATCGCAGTTCACAAGTTGAGTGCACTCACACACACACACACACGGGCAGAGACGCGCTTGAAGAGAGGTAAAAGCAATCGAAATGCATTTGAATTGAGCAGAAAGCGGTTGATTGCAGTGTGTGTGTGTGTGTGTGTGCGTATGCGAGGGTGTTTGCAAGTGCTTCATAATGTAAAAAGGTAGTAAAAAAAAAGGGTACAACCAAAAAAAAAAAATATAAAATGGGCACTTGCCACCACACATAAAGATTTACGCGACACTTAAGCCAAAAAACGGACGCACGCCACGCGCTGAGCGACGTCATGACTGAGAGCAGCGGCAGCGGCAGCGACAGCGACAGCGGCAGCGGCAGCGGCAGTCACAATAACAAGCGCGTTAAGGCCGCACAGTAGGTACGTTCTTTTTTATGTTGCCACTGTTCAAATTTGCATATGCTTTAAATATTTAATGTAATACAAAAAAAAATAAGAGGAGACAAGGCAGCAGCTGCAGCGGCTGCGGCATCAACAACAACGCACAATGTGCCAATTGGACAAACGTCGAGCAGCTGTACAAGCCAATTGGAATGCTCGATAATAGGCAGGAAAGTAGTAAAAATAAAAAGAAGCAAAACGCAAGGCATATACAAATATGCAGCAAAATGTTCGCGCATTTGGCAAAAAATCAATTTTCCGTGTGATTGCCAAATGCAATTGCTGCCACAGGCCGCAAGAGTGGGGCGCAACAACACACACACACACAAACACATGAGGACACACATGACAAAAAAAAAGAAATGAAAAAAAACGAAACGAAGAAAACTGCTTGGGTGTCCCTGGACAGACACGAGTCAATTGCAGCCCTAGAAAACGGGCTTACAGCTGTGTAGCACGCCTTACGCAGCGTTTTGTTGCCTTTTTGCCATGGCTTTTCGTAAATTTTACTGTTAATTATTGACATAACAAATGCGGCCCCAACTGGAACTGATGACGGCAACAACACCAGCTCCAATCAGAACCAACCAACACCAATGCACACACACACACACACACACACACGTACACGCGGCAATGAAAGAGAGGCGAAAGGCACACGCGAAATTGCTTACATTAACTTGGCGAAATAAAAGGGCAGCCCCAAGCGGCACACATAAAGTGAGGAATATGAAACTAGCTATATAATTTTCAACATTGTCGTCCTTTTTCTTTTTGTTTTGTGCATTTCGCTTACCAGCGAAATGAAACAAAGTTAAATGAATGAAATTGTCGGCCTACCGCACGCTCATTATTTGGCGTATTGACACGCACAGAATACACTTACACACGCACTAATACACAAATCACGTAAGCATCAAATTTAAATGCACTTAATTACATTTAATTTGTGTTTGCTTTTGTTTGAATTTTTATGGGTACCGGGAGAAGGAGGGCGCCCAGGCAAAGTGCCGCTGTAACACAAACCGTACGTACGTGCGCGTCCGTCTGACAGTCCAATTGGATGCGCTCTCTCTCTGCTGCTACTGCTGCTGCTTCTTCAACTTGTTTTAGTTATGCGTGTGCGCCAAGTTGCTCGTGCCAATAGTTTTGCATGGCAGCGATACTATCGATATATGCCTGAGCTCATCGACAATTATCTAAAAGCAATAATTTCAAATCAAACGATAGCGCAATGGCCGTGTCTTAAGCAAAGCCAAGCTGCAAAGGCAAAGGCAGGCGTTTCACCTAACTGAGCTTCGATCGATTAATAAAAACACACACAATATTATCGATATATTGGCGCTGTGCAATAGCTAGTGATGAGCGCTCAAAACAAAAATATTGGCAAATGCATACAAAATTGTTTGGCTAATGTTGCTGGTGTTAAAGAGAACTTAAAACAAAAAGCGGTGCTTACTTTGCTGTTGTTTATTTGTTGGTGTATTTTTTTTTTTGGTTGCTGTTGTAATTAATAATTAATTTCACTGCGTGGGTGGACGAGTTGTGTGCTGATAAAAGTGCTGTTGCTGCTGACGGCGCATTGGCAGTGCGCACTTGCTATGATTTATATTGTTACCGATATCGAGATCTGTGTGCATTTTGCTTAGTTGTAAATTTGCTTTATACGCAATATGTAAGCAACAACAATAACAACAACACCAGCAAATAACTTGGGCTACATTTGTGCGTAGTGTGCGTGTTTGTGTTAGTAGGTCGTATAATGACTCGGCGGCGGCTAAATATAACGGTTGTCGTTGTCGTTGCCGTTACGTTAGCTGTTGTCGTTGTTGTTGTTGTTGTTGTTTTTGGTTACACTCGTTACTCGTTTTCTCTGCTTCTCTTCTCTGCTATTTTTTTTTTATATGTGGCCAATTCACAAAATGTACATTTTTTACACCTTTCACACACACCCACGCATTTTACACTCACACAGTGAAGGCGCGCGCGCGTTGCCTTCGCCTCGTCCTTTTCTCTGCTCTTCTTTTCTTTTTTCTTCTTTGCACACACTTTCTCACACACCTATGCCAAATTGCGGAGGTCGGCTGTTGTTGTTGCTGGCTCTGTATATATATAATTTATTTATTAATTTATTATGTGCTCGATTGTGGCGCTATTTACACAATTTGGCTGAGTACAATTTGCTTTGATTTTCGCTCTGTCGCCTGGCCCACATGGCCAACGTATTTGCATGAAACTTTTTTGCACTCTGTGTGTGGCCTCTGAGATTTCCTGGTATTGCCTATATATCGCCCAGTGGCAGGCAATGGCATTTCTTTTTTTTTTTTTGCTTTTTCTTTTCTTTCTCGTTTTTCAATAAAACTCCATGGCCCTATTATGTACTCAACACACACATGCTCACTACACACACACGCACGCACGCACACACACACACGCCCGTTACGAATACGTACAATGAACGACCACGGCGTTTGCTTCAGCTGCTGCTGTGTGTTTTTTTTTTGTTGTTGTTGGTTTTAATTCGTTTTGTTTATAACTTTTTTTCCGTGTTGAGCACAGCCTTTTTGCTTGTGATTTGCTTTTGCTTGTGATTTGTGAATTCTGTTAGTTGTATTTTTTTTTATTTATTCTTGCCCTGCGACGAGCCCAGCGTGTGTGCCACCGAACGAGAGCCTCTGAACTGAAACTGAGCAGCGCCGTGGCAAGGATAAGCATATATTTTTGTTGAATGAGTGCCTCAATGAAAGCTCGCTTGCGCGCGTGTGTGTGTGTGTGCATTGCAACTCGTTCGTTTTTTAACGGTAACACTGCTCTGCGCACAGGCGCAGTACTGGGCGAGTGGGTCTCGCTGGCCATTGTGAATGCTGCAGCGTTGCCACCTGTGCCTTGACGTAACGACAATGCAGCGTTAAGGCGCGCCTTTCAAGCGTGCTACGTTTACGTTTATCTATATTTCGTTTTTTTTTTCTAGGTCATTGGGTCATGGCACAGTGGGAACGGGCCATGTGGCACAGTGGGCGAAAATTGTTTTCAACGAACAAAAAATGTACATTAGAGCTGAATTAATTTTAAATGAAAGGCTAATGGAATGAACTTCTAAAGGCGTTTGTTTAGGATTTGGCTGTTAAATACAATCGAACACAAATATCTAGATTAAATATTTTGATAAATTTTATGAAAGTGCCCTTCGTAGAACAATTTGTAGACCCTTTCCCCCTTTCCAACTGTATCTAACGGAATACTTAAATTTTTTGAATTAAAATAAAATTTGAATAAGTTCAATTTTGGAGATCTTAAATTTGTATGCCTCTCTGTAATATTTTTCATATATCTTGATCTCATTCCCATTATCTCATCATGTTTTTATAAATATTACCATTTGTTTTGTAATTAATAAAGGTCATCTATTCACAATATTTGTAATTGCAATCACATAATGTTTAAAGCCCGCGACAAGCACGCCAGACTGAAAATGCCACAGTCATTAGGCAAACACTCTTTGTCGCTGACCCCTCCCCCGCCCGCCCTAAAGCTGGCAAAAAGTCAACAAATTAAATATCTAACAAACGAGCGGGGCGGAACGTTTGCTGTGGCTAGCTCCTCGAGCTGGGTGCGCCCAGCATGTGGCTTCCTTTGTAGCTAACCATCAGCATGTTGTCTCCTACTTATATAGTCTATCTCTCTCTCTTCCCCCCCCCCCCCCCCCTCTCCCTCTCGGCCTGTTAGCCCTGTTAGTATGCAAAATTGCTTCGTCCCGTTGTGCTGGCATGCGGCAACCGCGCCCAGTTCTGGAGGGCGTCCGTTGTCCTTTTACTTCGCATATGCACAAAAGGACCATATTGTTGGAGAAAATATCTAGCATTACCAGGAATCACTCAGTTGTGGGCTGATCGGGTATATTGGTTTTAAGTGTAGCCTGACTGTTGACAGAATTATTCAATTAAACTGGTCACACTAGATGGAGAAAATTTTAAATCAATAAATGGGGTTTAATCCTTTTCACAATCATATAAATGCTTAAAACTGTTTAGAAAATGTTGTGTTAAGAAAAGTTTGATCTGGTATTTATGGCCTATTATCCTTTCTGAGGAAAACCTAACATTAACTGGTCACACTGTTTTCAAAACAAGCCCTATATGAACATTGATAAAATACACTTCCTAATATATAAAGAACACAGTTTGACATATCTGTTGGAAAATACTTTAAATTTTCTGACCACATTGTTTTCTAGGACACAAGATGAATGTTAATAATCCCAGAATTTATAGAATAATATTCAGAATTGGTTAAATCATGAATCATGTAACAAATACTAAAGAGTTTTAATCGAATATCTCAGATATTAATGAAAAAATTAAATATTCGAAAGAATTTTCGATATTAATTGAAAAATTAGATATTCGAAAAAATTTTCGATATTAATTGAAAAATTAGATATTCGAAAGAATTTTCGAATTTTTGAAAAATGAGATATTCGAACGAATTTTCGAATTTTTGAAAAAATGAGATATTCGAAAGAATTTTCGAATTTTTGAAAAATGAGATATTCGAAAGAATTTTCGATATTAATCGAAATCAGAGATATTCGAAACAATTTTCGATATTAATTACATTTTCAGTTCGAATTCGATATTCAAAAGAGTTTCCAGAAACTTCATCAAAGTGTTTCCAGGGTATTTGGGAACCTGTCAACCTATTTGCACCTGCCTTGTTTGTTATTTTACACTCTTCCTACACATTCCCATACAGGGTGTGCCGCAAGTAGCCCTAGAACAAAGGGCAGTTCATTTGTGTATGCGTTTAGCACCCAGTTTAGCCAAAGCATATTGAGTGTGGCTCCGTTGCGGGCCAAGTGAACAGTCCGAATTGGCCGGGCAACGCAGCCGGACGTGAAATTGAGGCTTAAATAGGGCACATTTTCAAGGCTGACAGAAAATACGTGCGCGAAACAAAAAAAAAAATGGACGACGATACGGATATCTTTGACATAGATCCAAAGGAAGCTTGGCTAGAAAAAATCACCATAGGCGGCTTTCGGCGCTGGCACATCATAGCCTCCGTTCTGGGCATACTAATGAGTATTAGTGAGTGTGGCTTGACTCTATTTATAAGGAAATTCCGAAAAAAATACAGGGTATTTGCAGTGATAATGGTCTGCTGCTGCATACGCTTTCGCATACCGCGCACCAAACAGGAAATCGAAGCCGACTATCAACGCAAACAGATAACCAAAAAGTTTCGCGAAAAATTGCAACAAATCAAAAACTCCGAAATGGACGATATGGATCTGCAGAAAGGTACGTCTATGCTATACACATATAATTATATACAGAGTATCGCTCGGATGCGACTTTTGCGATTCGCAGCTATTTAACGAAATTTGTGTATTACTTTGTACGCGCCCCAGTTTCTTCCACTGTCAAATGCGAGACCAAGCCCTTTTTTTTTTTTTTGGTTTAGTTTTCTTCTTGTCTCTCTATCTCTATCGTAGACTCACGCATGTGTATATACAATATGATAAACGATTCGTTGAGCCTGTCTGAACCTATGCAGTGCACGCTAGTTTTAGCTATAAATACAGTGAAAGCTCGCTAGAACGAACGGCAAGGCTTACAAGTAATCAAATGAAACATATTTTGTTAAGCTTAAGTTTCGTAAATATAAAATAAAATGTTTATAAACCTAAATAATTGTTTGCCAAATTAATCTGTTCGTTCGTAAAGTTTTCACTGTATGTATAGGACTCGACTTTTATAAACTGTACAACTATATAAATAACACTCACTTCTGTCACTTTTCTATCATCACAGCACTTGCTTATATCAAATTGGAACAATATGATGATCCCTAGAGCCTTTCTAGAAATTCACCATAAAAAAAAAAAAATAAGCACTATTGGAATAAATTTGTACTTCTATGCTAATCTATATAAGAAATCACTGCCAATGTAAGTAGGATCTTATACATACATATAATTAAAATTAAATATTTTTATATATATATTTTCACTTGCCTATTGCCTCCTGACACGATCCCAATCCGTTCCACTCTCTTGCAGTCTGTGCGCGCATTCAGAGCGATTATCTGAACCTGCAGGCGAGCGTGGAAAGCATGAACGAGAAGCAGAATGTTAAATTTAAGATCTAATCTATAATACAACTTATATATACTTTATAACATCATGATAATAAAACTAGAGCGCAGTCTAAACATTTGATTTATTCTGTTTATGTTATATTTTCGCTTTTCGATTGTAATTAGTTATTTTGTGTTCTTTCTTTTTTGGATTTATGAATGTATCAAAGTTCTTTAAGTAGTTTTTGTTTTTGATTTTGTTTTTTTTCTTTTTAATACTCTACACATACAGGCTAGTTGGGTTGTCTGATTTTGGGCAGCATTACGACAATTGCGACATTAACAGATTGTTTGTATTGTTTGCGACATTAGTTTTTCACTTAGATTTATTAGGCAATTAGTTTAAAATGTTTCATCTTGACAATTCTTTAGTTTTGATATACATAATGTGTACGCTGACTTTTGGCGCTGACTGTAACAAATTTTCGCGCTGATTCTGTTTCACATATTCTCTGACTCTGACTCGACAAACACACACAGTCACATACAATTTAAATAACGCATAACTATTTATATTTTTTTTTATCATTGTTCATTAACTTGCTCCGGCTCTTAGATTTATCTATTTTGGAATACTTTCTCTTACGCTCATTTACGGTTTGGGTTTATTTTCACCATTTAGTTGTGGAAACATTTGCCAAAATTCTGCGGTTTATCTCTTGTTTTACTTTCTTTTTTTTTGTTTTTGTTTTTAATACACAATTTTATTTTTATATTTTTATATATAAAAACAACTAATTATACTGAGCGCATCATTCTTTGCGTATGAATGTTCTCCCCCTGCAAATAAAGAGTATTATTATTGTGATTGAGAAAACAAATCTAGTTTTATTTATAACTCACGTTATAGTCTTCTTTTCCGTAGTCTTCGATTCGGGCCTTGCACGGTTTAGCACCTTGAGGAAATCTGAGGTTTTTGCGCGCATGCGCGAATGAATGTACGCCTTTGAACACTGTTATATAATATGGCAAGAGATTCATATATTTCAAATACCAGGTATAAGTCTCTGATCTGTCACTCACCTTAATGTGATAATGCAAATAATCTCGGAACATGTGTATTAAATTGATAGTATTATCCCGTGTCTCCTTGTTGGTATGTCGAGGGAATAGCACTGCAAAGATACAAATTTCAGAAACTTATTAGTTTTTAAAGTTCAGATAAACAGAATAAATTCTAAAGTATAACAATATATAAAAGCTGTACACAAACACAAGTCATCTGTTATAATATAAGTGATTATACAGGATGCCGTTCGTCTTTTAGTTAATTTTGGAGCATTTGAGACACAAATTAGGTTAAAGTCCCAAAATATGCCACTTTGACTCCATGGAGTATAACAGATTGGATCAACTGTACACAAACACAAGTCATCTGTTATAATATGAAGGATTAAACAGGATGCCGTTCGTCTTTAAGTTAATTTTGGAGCATTTGAGACACAAATTAGGTTAAAGTCCCAAAATATGCCACTTTGACTCCACTGTGTATAACAGATTGGATCAACTGTACACAAACACAAGTCATCTGTTATAATATAAGTGATTAAACAGGATGCCGTTCGTCTTTTAGTTAGTTTCGGAGCATTTGAGACACAAATTGGGGTATATTCCCAGAATATGCCACTTTGACTCCACAGAGTATAACAGATTGTTTCAACTGTACACAAACACAAGTCGTCTGTTTTAATATAAGTGATTAAACAGGATGCCGTTCGTCTTTTAGTTCGTTTTGGAGCATTTGAGACACAAATTGGGGTATATTCCCAAAATATGCCACTTTGACTCCACAGAGTATAACAGATGTGAACAAATGTACACGAAACAAGTAACTGCTCAATCGTGAAGAATTAAACAGAATGCCGTTCGTCTATAAAATAATCTTGGAGCATTTGAGACACAAATCGAAAAAGGACTTCAAAATATGCCACTTTAACTCCATAGAGAAGATGATATTTCAGAGATCCAGGGAAACACGTACCGAATGTAACATATCCAATGTTGTCGCCAACTCTAGCATCGGTGTTAGCCAATTCCAAGGGTGGCTCGCGGTGCGAGAAGAGCACTTGTGGCGCTGTATGGGATGCACGTCGTCCCTCTCTCAATTCCTGCATGAATACCTTGCCAATGATGACATCGTCCTCGTCCCTAAAGATGGTGCTGAACACAACGGTGACGCGATCAGGCTTTGCCTCCACATAGCTGTGGATTAAGATTAAGGTTAGGTTAATATAAAAAACATTTTAGGTAACTTTTCAAATGGGGCTTACAGCGTCTCATCGTTGCGATAGTTGATGACTGCTCGCTTTTGGGTCTCTTCGCCCTGTTCCTGAAAGTCGAAATATTTCTCGAACACCGAGGCAAAACAATTGCGCTTCAGCAGTCCAATTCTCTTTGCAATCTGCTCCCAGTCCGCGGGTATATCATCTAAATTAATAAGTACAGAAACATTGTAACCTACAAATAAAAGAACAACATTTAATTTATAGTTTTATAAACAATTTGATATATACTTTTACCTTCTTCCGTATCGGTCAGCAGACTTCCATATTCCCGTTTCAGAAGCTCATCGGCGCCGTGTTCCTGCAGCTGTTTGTAGAACTTAAGCGAAATGCTTATCTATAAAATATGGTAAAATATGTATTGTTAGTCAATAGTACATAATAAAAGAGAAACAACTCAATCGAATACGCACCCGCACTTTTGTTTTATCACCATTCACATTGGACATATGATATAGCACCCCATCGAAGTCTGCTATTCGTATATCTATCGATTCTGGTTTGAGCCTGCAAAATAATACGCAATGAAAAAAAAACACATTAATAAACAGTTAACTTTTTCCCATTCAATATCTTATCGCTCGCATACCAGCTTGATTATAGTACACACACCAGAAATATTGTATGATTAATGAAGAAGCTTTTATATTGGAAAAATTGTAATAATTAAATTCCTTCCATGTCGGCAAATTAGATTTAACATTTTTATATGTGAAATTAAAAAGGATACTATTCGAGAGATCAAAAAAATACTATCACTATCACACACAATTTAGAAATAACTCTTAGTTCAACTTCCATTGCGAGATGAAGAGCATTATACAAAGTGCTGTTCGATTAAAAATTTAAATTGGAGTATATGTGATATAAAGCGAGTATTCCACTTTGACTCCACAGATTATAACAGATTGGAGCAACTGTACACAAACACAAGTCATCTGTTATAATATGATAGATTAAACAGGATGCCGTTCGTCTTTTAGTTAGTTTTGGAGCATTTGAGACACAAATTGGAGTATATTCCCAGAATATGCCACTTTGACTCCTAAGGGTATAACAGATTGGAGCAACTGTACACAAACACAAGTCATCTGTTATAATATAAAGGATTAAACAGGATGCCGTTCGTCTTTAAGTTAGTTTTGGAGCATTTGAGACACAAATTAGGTTAAAGTCCCAAAATATGCCACTTTGACTCCTAAGGGTATAACAGATTGGAGCAACTGTACACAAACACAAGTCATCTGTTATAATATATGTGATTAAACAGGATGCCGTTCGTCTTTAAGTTAGTTTTGGAGCATTTGAGACACAAATTAGGTTAAAGTCCCAAAATATGCCACTTTGACTCCATGGAGTATAACAGATTGGATCAACTATACACAAACACAAGTCATCTGTTATAATATAAGTGATTATACAGGATGCCGTTCGTCTTTTAGTTAGTTTTGGAGCATTTGAGACACAAATTGGAGTATATTCCCAGAATATGCCACTTTAACTCCACTGAGTATAACAGATTGGATCAACTGTACACAAACACAAGTCATCTGTTATAATATGAAGAATTAAACAGGATGCCGTTCGTCTTTTAGTTAGTTTTGGAGCATTTGAGACACAAATTGGGGTATATTCTTTGACTCCACTGAGTATAACAGATTGGAGCAACTGTACACAAACACAAGTCATCTGTTATAATATAAAGGATTAAACAGGATGCCGTTCGTCCATTAATTGATATGGGAGCATTTGAGACACAAACCGAGATTAATCCCGGAATATGCCACTTTGGCTCCATCGAGTACTCTGTTTTGCTTTGGCAGCCGGCGCCCAAAAAGGCATTTGTGTGATTGCGACGATGACTCAAGTGCATTTCTGTTCTCTGTGTGTGTGTGTGAGGTGTATAACAGAGCTTGGCATTATGCACAATGATGCGATAAATGAGTTAAATGACTTAACAAATGCTGCGCGGGTGGCCATGGGAGAAGGGGGAGAATACACAAACACTACTCACACGCACACACTCACAGATTCGAGTGCATGAGTGTACTCCAAGTTCGAACTACACCCGATTTTTAAGGCTCCGTTAACCGCGCGTGTGTGTGTGTGTGTTATACTGATAATCGCAACGAAAATTGATAACAAGGGCCAACGCAAGAGAATAGATAAAAAAAAAATAAAAAATGGGGGCAATTTAACAGTTAGAGCGAATGAGACAGCGCAAAAGAAGTGAAAGAAGAAGAAGAAGACTTACCCAGCCTGTGCATTGCGGTATTTGACCAGGAGCGTTTCCTCAATAATGCGATTATTGATTTCCAGCAATATCATCTTGATTAAATGTGTATGATTTTTTCTTTACTCAATTCGATTTCAAATATAAATGTGCCTAATTTGAAAATAACCAAAAGCGATGACAAATTTATGACGTTGCCTTTGCCGCTCCGGCTATGAATGCGGCGCTCTTTCGTGCGGTAACTGTTTCTTTGCTGCTGCTGCTGCCGTTGTCGCAGTCGCTGCTTCTGCTGCTGCGAATGCGTTTGTGTTGGTGTGAGAGTCGGCTACTTATTATGGGGGAGATTGCTGGACTGGCTGCTCCAACTCACCAACACACTGGCATTCGTACATGCATACATATGAGTTGAAAAGAAATATACACACACACACGCGCGCGTTGACTGTGCTTTTCGCTGTCGCCTTGGTTTGTATGCGTGTGTGTGTAGCGTATTTAATGAATCAACAACAAAAAATGGGCGCAGCGTTTGCTGTTTTTGTGCCCGTACGTTAATGTCGGCTTTTTTGGCTGATCTCCGAACACACACTTGCAAATTCCAACACACACACACACACAAGCCGACACACCAACCAACACTCACGCTTGCTGGTCTAGCAGTTTTGTTGCAATTTTCACTCTTCAGTTGCCGTGTGTGCTGTGCAGCTTGTGGTCCACTGCAGCTGATTTTATTGTTCACTTAGTGCATTTATTTATAATTATTTATTATAAAAATAGCAGAAATATGCAATACGCGTATCCATGTGGCCAGGTACTTGGTACTTGTGTGTGGCCAGCTATCGCGATTTTACTTCATAGCGATGGAAGTATCGGCATTAAAGGTAGTGAAGCATTTAATATCGATTACCAGTTGCAGCCCTGGTTAAAGCAGAGGTGTTTTCCTATGAGCAAAATAGTAAATAAATAAAATCAGTTTTTTAGTTATTTTTATGCTTTTCACCTGATAACAAACAAATGAACGACGTAGAGCTAATCAGATTGATAGAAAAATATCCGATACTCTACGACAAGGACAGCGCACGCAGTGCCAAAAATGCGGCCAACAAGGACGCCGCCTGGAAAACCATTTCAATAAAAATGGGCGCCAGCGAACGGGCCTGCATTACGCGCTGGAAGAGCATACGCGATCGGTTTGGCAAGGAGTTCCGACGGTTCCAGGAGAACCCGGACAGCCCCACCTACTGGGACATGTTTCCGCGCCTGCTCTTCCTCAAGGATCACTACAAACACGGCCTGGTCAAGCACGAGAGTCTCGATGGCATGAAATTCGAGCCCAGGCACAGAAAGCCGCGCCGCATCCGCCCGGAGGAGCCGGAGAAGAAACAGCGCGACGAGGACTATGAGGGGGACCCCGGCGATATTGAGCTGTGCCACCAGCTCATCGAGCTGGTCAAACTGCATCCGGTGCTCTACGATAGACACAAAATACGCATTTCCAAGAATCTGTCGATCAAAAATGAAGCCTGGCGCGCCATCTCCGAGAGCCTGAGCGTGTCCGGTAAGCTGTCCAGGATCAGCATGAGCTTACGTATATAATTTGAGCATTTACTTTTTAGAGGAACTCTGCTACAATCGCTGGAAGAAGCTGCGCGATCGCTTTGCCCGCGAATATCGCAACAATCAAATTAATCCGGCGGCGCCGATCACCTGGCGTTATTTCAACGATCTGCTCTTTCTGGGCCGGCATTTCCGCAAGGGCGTGCCCTTGATAATTGAGAATATCAAGAAACGCGGCCGGCCGCCCAAAACTTCTCAGCCGGCCTGCCAGGCGAAGCAGAGATCAATCGAGAGCCTCAGTCCGGCGGCGGGCGAGCACATCTGGGGCGCGGATTATCCGTACAGCACGGACAACGACGAGCTGGAGGATGAGCTGCAGTACGAGGATCAGCATGATTTCGAGGTGATCAGCGAGGCGGAGCAGAAGGCGCATATGGACTATGTGCAAATGGAAATGCCGCTCGACGAGCATGAGTTATTGGAATCACACACAGAATCTCTGGAGGCGCAGCAGGTGCACATAAGCGCCAGCTCCATACCTGTCATGCTGGAGCAGGAGGAGGAGCAGGAGGAAGAGGAGGAGGAGGAGGACGAAGCGGAGGGGAACCTTACGGAAGATATAACGGACGATTCATCGGCCTTGATAGAGAGCGTCCTGGCAGACGATCAACTGCTGCCCAGCGCCGAGAAGCTAATGGGCACCGTCATCTCCAACATGGAGACTGTGCTGCAGCAGTCCAAGGATTGCCTGCAGGCGCTGCAGCAGGCAGCCAACGCGCCGGCGCAGCCAACAACCACGAGCCTGTTGAGCAAGGTGCAAATGCTGCTCGATGGGCTGGGCCCGGAGCAGCGACGACAGGCGGAACGGAAAATTGTGCATTTCCTATGCGAGTGTCAAATAAAAACGCTGGACGGGCAGGAAATCGAGGATGTGGCGCCGTGTCACATATTCAGTTGATTAATGGCTAAGCAGATGATCAAAAACAAGTGTTCCAAATTGTATTCTAAATAAATGCATTATTATTAGAGTATTCTAAACGTGTCTTAAATTGAAGAACTTTATGCGCATTGGTAAAATTTAAAAGTCGCAACTATCGATAGGGCAGCGCGCGCAACTATCGCTTGTGCGATATGGTCTGCGCACAAATGCTCCAGATGGCGCTTGAGTGTCACTTTTTGAATGGCACGTTACAAACAGATGCCTAAAGCGCTAAAACCCAAATACGCCCACATTCGGCATCAATTATTGCAATTAATAACGCACACGCACACATGTTGAAAGAACAACAACAACAACAACAAATGTAAACAAATCGCTGGCATGCATTTAGTTTTAGTCTGTAAATTCGTGGTTAACCAAATAGTTGCCAGGCTCGATTCATACAGTGCAGTCTGCCTGGCCCTGTTGTTGTGCGTCAAAGAGCCGCCAAAATATAAAGAATTATTAAAATAATAAACTTTGCGTACAGAGCGCTTTTAAAGTGTTTGTGTGCGTGTGTCTGTGCGCCTTTTGTTTTAGCGCGTCATAAACTAATTTTATACAAATAAACGATGTCGACGTCGGCAACGTTTGAAGTTATGCGGATTTGTATCGCGGGATTTGTTATGGAATGCGCGCAACGGTGTTTCCTTGTACACACACACACATAGACACACACATGTATATGCGTAGGAGCGTGCGGGTGTGCGTGCGCGCCATGTTGTTGTGACACCTGCAGCTCTCATGGATAATGTGCCGTTGTGTTGGCTTTTGGTAAATATTTAAGCGCGCTGCCATTAGCGCAGTCAACGTTGACGTCGACTGCGCTTTGATAGTTTTACGAGCTGCTGTCGCACACAGACATGCACACACAGACGCTGCAACTCTCTTACTCTCTCTCTCTCTCTCTCTCTCTTCATTCATCGGTGAGCATTATAACTGTTATTTATTTGCATGCATTTGTCTGTCGCTTTAAGCTTTGCACTTAAAGCACAGTTAAAGTTCACATAACCCTACGTCTGTGTGTGTGTGTGTGTGTGTGTGTGTGGGACAGCTACTCTGGCCCGGCAGATGAATCATTTGTTGCCTGTCAGTGGGCACATCATTGGAATCTAACGGATCATCAATCAGAGTGCGAATTACTAGCTCAGGCCGTCTCTTTCGCACGCATGCCGCAGCAAATGTGTCAACCCTAACCTAGTGCACAGTGCTTACAATCTATTTACGTACGTCTGGCATTTGCAATTGTCTATGCGCGAAATTTGTATAATTGCCAATTGCCACGGATTTACTCAATTGCCGCAGTGGCGACGGCCAATATAAAAAAAAATCAAAAATTATTATGCAGCAATGTGTGCCAAATTAAATGCATACTCTTGTTTCGTTTTCTTTACACATACATGTGCCGTATATATGTACATGTGTGTGCGTGTGTGTGTGTGTGCAACACGCAGCTAATGCTTTTGGCAATGCTCGAGGGGCAGCTATAGATACCAAACACATGTATTCATATAGTATACCATGTGTGCATATGTATATGTATGTGTGTACATCCAAATATAACAATAAATCCAAACAGAACAAAACACTCGACGCTTGCATTGTGCGGCATATTCAAATTGTCTGTAAATTTGACATGTCTCTGCTTCTACGTGTGTGTGTGTGTGTGTGTGTAAGTTTCTGTCTGCGTGTGTGTGTGTGTGTGCAAATCTCCGCATTGTTTTTGGCATATGCATGCCATGCATTTCAATAAATACCTAGGCATGTGTGTGTGGGGGGCGGGGGTGGGGGTTTGGTTCAAGTTTTGAATGAGCTGCCGATGCGCTTGAGAAATATCTTGTAAATTACTTTTAAGGCTAACGTAGAGATAAGGCAGGGGGCGTGATAAATGAAAAGCGTGATTTGCAGTTTTAGCTTGTGAGGAAAAATATATATTCAAAAAAAAATGGTGCAAAAAAGTTTTTGATCGAAGCGACCCCAATTTTGAGAAAAAACGTGACCCCTTGATTTTTGATCGATTTGTGTCAAAATTTCGATTGTCATTATTTTGAAGCCAATCGATAGTACTGATCCTTACGAGTCTAAAATGGTATATCATTTCGAAATCGGACATTATTTGGCCGTGATATTTCTAAAAGTATCGATATCGCCTTTTTATCGCTCTTCTATCTTCCTTGAGCCTGCCATGAACACTTCTGGCAAATAGGAAATTTATTGACTTTAGAGTATTTATATATATATATTAAGAGCTATGACTGATGTTGCCTGGCAGATAAGAAGGCGATACTTCGAATTACTTTTGCATATTGTTGACTATATCGCCTTTTTATCGCTTTCTTATCTTCGCAATTGCTTAACTTTTCTGATATTTTTGAGGGAATTGGCAATGTGTTATGCCTTACGTTTGGCCTACACCATAAGAGTGTATCGTCTGGGTGATACAAATTCGATAAGTGGGCGACAATTTGTATTACGCTATATAATAGCATGTGTTACGCATCTAACACAGATTCGCTTTCTTTTTGGCAACATATTAATCTAAGCTTAGAAAAGCTCGCTCTATTTGAATGAATGATAACAATTATCGCCTAACTATCGCTTGAGAAGATAAAAGTGGGATACGTACTGTAATTCTCTATTCTTTCGGATGAAGCACTTTTGATTACTTAAAGCACATGAACTTCGGTCTGTATTTTGTTTATAGTAAGGATTTGCTGCAACTTTAGGCTCGACCCTCGCTTAAGTTGCAGGCAACAGCACGTGCCACGGCACGTATTGAACCTTGCCACTTACGGGCTATGCGTGGCCGTCCCTAGGCTCGCTGCACTGCAGCAACATTTTGTTGTATCATCAATGCCAGTTCGGTGGCTCTGCATTTTGCATGGCCACAAAAAAAAAAGAGAGCGAAAGGAAAAAAAATAATTGGGTTGCAAACAATTTGCAATAAAATTGCAACCAGCGGCAAGTTGCATCAACAACAAATGACCGCACCGAACCCAGCGCCATAAACGAGCGAGACGTACTATCTGCGAGCTTGTCCAGCCACTGAGTGGCTGCTCCTCCTCCTCCCCCTCGTCCTCGTCGTGCCCCACTCATCCTGCAACAACTGCAGCCGGCTCGAGCTTTGAACTTTGGCGCCATTTGGCTGACCGGCCAGTGAAGCGCATAAATTTTTGCTTTGTTACATACAAAAGAGTGTGTCGGGGTTCATGGGAGCTGCTGGCGGAGAGCACGGCAGCAATGACCCACAAAGCGTTTACAATTTACGACTTTTATGGCGCAATGAACGAAGACAAACGCCAGCCAAAAGATGCCAGCCGGCGAGGGGCGTGAGCGAGGAGAAGAACTAGTCAAAGGTGGCCCATATCCTGGGCCATATTCTGGCTGGCAGCCGTCTGGCGTCCGGCATTAATGTCGCCCTGTGCCAAGCTGTTTAATTGCGCTTGTGTGCAATTATATAAAAGTAACTTGAAGTGCACTTGCCGTCAATTAACTTACACAGCTCGAGGCAGAGAGGGTGGTAGAGGCGGAGGGACAGGGGCTGGGAGAAGTACGGCTAGTCAACTGTGCGTATGCGTAATGTGTTCGGGTCGTTTCGCTGCTAATCATCGCCAGCATCAGCAGCAGCGCGACGCGTCAACGTCTGACAAGGGGCCAAGGCGTTCACACGGCTGTCACACACACACACACACACAACAATAAACGCACACACACAAGCACTCACACACACACAATGGGAGAGTAAAAGCTATTAATAAATTAAAAATATTCTATCGAAATGCGAGGGGCTGCTTATGAGTTAGAAATATATAAAATGAAAATAGTTGAACTTATTTCATTTATGCCAAAATTATTTCTTATTATAGCTATCGATAGATATCGATTAGTAGTGTTTATTGATACCTATCGATAACAGTAAAAGTTAGAAAATATAAAAAAGAGATTTGATTAAAACGAAAGCTTGTTTTAATATCATAATTGGGCTACAGCCACAATCGATTGTTGTTGCTGCCTATCGATAGTTATCAACCAGGTCGATACTTATTATATATGCTAACGCGTTTTAGTAAAATTAGAGATAAATAGCTAAGTATGCTTATATCTTTTATGACAAACTCATTTCGTATTGAAGATATCGATAAGTATCGATAGTTAATGTTTATTGATATTTATCGATAACTGTAAAAGTTATACAATATAATCGATACTTTGTTTTAATACAGGCTGGTGAAGCTAGCCTCTTATCAAAAGAAGCTCTTGCTTGGGCTTCAATTTGGGCTGTCTATCGATAGTTATCGAAATAGTTGCAAATAGTTATGTATGCTATCGATAGATGTAGAGTTTAATATATTTAATATAAATGTAGTTTTACTTAAACTCAGCTGATTAAATGATATGTTTCGTGAAACTAAGTTATCAATATTTTTTAGTTCCATTCTCATGTCAAATATTTGTCAAGTGGCTAAACTGCCTGCTAGCTTGTTATCAGGCTAATTAACTGTGAACATTTCGAAACGTCCCTCTGAAATGCGCAACACACAATTGTTTGCCTTTGGGGTAGCTATTTTGTCTAGTATTTATATGCCTGTGCGAGTTTTACGATTCACAATTACTTTGCCTTTTTGGCAATATATTTTGTTCTCTAATTTTTTTTTTCGGTTGTATTTTTTTCTCGCGTTCATTCTACTTTTAATGCTCTGTGCGTGAAGGGCAAGAGGGCATATTGCGGCAATATATAGAGTTTTTAACCATGCCCGCAAAGGGCTGGGCTAGCTGAAGGCATCTAATAGAACTCATACATCTTTAAGTCTTAAAGTCGCCGGCTCGAACCCTTGTATTGGTGTTCAGACGTTCAGCGCATTGCGCAACTCAAGCGAAGGTTCGAACATTGGACTTTGTGATAGGCGCAAGTCAAGCGACTTGATTTGAAAATTGTGAATAGAGTATTGTGCAGTCGTTAACAACCGTTTGCAAACGTATCTACATTGAGCATCATTGTCGTCGTCGACGTGGCGACTGCTTATGT